CTGGTCATCATATATGCCGACTTACAGTAAGTAGGCGAACTCAAGAAATGTCAACCGAAATTCCGAACTGCGTTTTCGTTTCGAAAATATTTATTAAGTAGCGTTCTAAAACTATTCAGCTTGTAATATAATTTAGTTACCTCAGGATGCCGGCTTTCGAACGAACTTCCTTCCGGCTGCCTGCATAAACTACACTCTGTGCAAAATGACTACAAAATGACAACAAATGACTATTAGTACATTAATTTTCCTCATTGATTTTCGATGCCCCTTAAAGTCCAATTATATTTCATGGAAAACGTGACAAAACCTACATTCTTTTGCTCATTCGGTAGAAAATTACGTCTTCTTTTAATTTTATACTCGAAGGAGGGACATAATTCGGTTTTAAAAAGTTTACAATTGTGGAACTTTTAAATACTGTGAAATGGCCGTTCATAAAACGTCATGTCTTTGCATTTACCAATATGAGTTGCAAAGTTAACAATATAGATCAAATCCTCCGCTAAATTTTATGAGTCCTATAGAGTCTCCCTTTATTACTGTAGAGAAAAGCGTGTTTTTTTATACGCGGAAAATATACGGCATGTAGTTTGGAAACCCTGAATCTAAGTGTAACGGTAGAGCGGGTTCAAAATTATTCGGGAATTGGAAATGTCTTCGAAAACCGAATTATACCCTTCCTTCGAGTAAAAGATTAGAAGCAGACTTAAATGTTTACCGAATGAACAAGAGAATGAATATTTGTATGCATGTTTTCCACAAAATATAATTGGACTTTTAGGGGCACTGAAAATCTGTGAGAAAAGTACATGCTACTTAAGCAGTTATTTTCTACAGAATGTAGTTTTTGCATGCAGTCGGAAGGAAGTTCGTTCGAAAGCCAAAGTCCGGGGTAACTGAAATAATATAGAATTATGTTGCAGGCTGACTAGTTTTACAACGCTATTTAATAGATTTTTTCGAAACGAAAATGCATTTCGGAATTTCGGTTGACATTTCATGAGTTACGCACGTACGTAAATGCGAAAAACCCACTTGCTGACAACTGGGGGCCGAATATTCTTTAGACACGCCCCCCCCCCTCCCCTGGGGATCTGTCCTACGCAACACCAGCTCACCAGATGCCTGTAAACAAAGTGTTTGAGAGCCGTCTGATAGCAGCCTTCAAAGTTGCCGTCTCGGAGGATTCTCTATGAGGAATAACATGCGCATACCTTTATCCTCACTAGGGTGATGCTAAGCCGCCCAAAGGCACCCCCTCGGTGCCTCGAACGGGCGGTTATGCTTCCGTGCAGAAGAACAAACACGGCGAGCCTGGTAGCTACGTTGCGAACTCTCACACCACCTCCACGCCGATAATGCAGAGGCAGAACAACCAATCAGAGCAGGGCTGGCAACCGCCGCCGCCGCTGTCAAGCCAGGCGCCACAGGATCAGCAGAACCAGTCCTACCATACCCTGTCGTCCTTCCAACCCGCGGGGGGTGGAGGTAGTGCCTGGTCAGACTACGATCTGTCACTTGGACGACGGGACCTCCGCGCCGCGACGGTGGCAGAGGAGGGTGGACCTGTGGCCAGTAGCCTGAGAATGCATCCGAACGTGCACAGGGGTCTGCTGGCAGAAATGAACGCCGGCGTGCGACTTCATCCCGTGGCCCCACAGCCTCCGAATCATATCTGAGGTCGACGGACTGTGCACCCTGTCCCCTGCCTCCCCCCCAACAAATGCTATTTTGCCTTTCTGCTCTTTTCATTTTATGCTTCCGCTTTTGAATACGAAAAGAGGAAGTGACGTTTGAGTTTCCTCTTAACTATGGAGAGTGCCTCATCGATCGGGAAATGCTCATTCTGTTACGCCTTTGCAGGCAGTGGCAAATGCAGAGGGAGGAGTGCAGAGTGAGCGAGAGGGAGAAGGGATGATCGTTTCTGCCTTATCAGCCATCGCCAGCCAGTCACACCCAACCCCAGGGATTCAAAACCTAATTCTTCATTTGTCGATGGTTTTTTAAGTTCAGCACTCTGCCTGGCCACCCACCGAGGCAGGTTCACGGGTAAGGCTACGGGACGTGCTCGCCCCTTTGTGCCTCGAGGTTTACTGGCGACAGCAATTAAGCCAGAACTGGTCATCTCAGTCACCCTTTTCCTGCATTCTCCGTTCGCCTACGTAGATATTGCTGCAACCGGCTTGGAGCGAACGGGAAGTATAGTGGAGGAGTGTTGGCTCATGAGGTTACGACTCAAAGTAGAGCCCTCATAGGCGGTCAAATAACCACAAGAAATGCCACTGATACAGACAAGGACGGTCAGATGTGGTTATGTAGCCCTACCTGTAGTAAACAAAACCTAATTATCTGGAGACCGGAACCGGTGGTAAAAGGTGTTTCTGCAGATGGGGTCGGGGAACGCACAGGTGACGAGCTCAAGTAGTTGTATGCAAAAGAAAGGCTATTGGGGATGCGCGGTTGCACTTTGACCGGTTGGGAAATGGTTGACCCAACCTCTAAATCCTAACCAAAATACCAACAGTATTGTGTCCTCAAGTAAACAAACCCCAGTCACCTCTTATACAGGACCGGTGGTAATAGGGGGTTTTTACGGGTGGGGCCGGAAAACGCACAGGCGAAGAGGTCAAG